TGTTGCTGCTAAAAGAGATCTGTCACATTAAGTTTACATTAAGATTTTTATAAGTAATTTTAATCATATAATTACTAATTACTTTCTTTTAAGACGTTTTTATTAGCTTTGCGTGTATTTATTCATCTATGTAACGGAATCTTTTAATGTAATTTTCAGCACCTTATCGGTGATAATATTATGCGTTTAAAATTTTCACGTTATCATTCACCTGGATTGCTTGTAAAATATGCGCGATATTAATATTCGAAGTAGTTTGCACTTTGTACCTTTAATTGTTTTAATAAAAGTCGTAAATACGACGGAATATTTTATATATAATCTGAATTTGAATCATTATAACGAAAGATGTGGTTATAAATATGAAAAATAATGAATACTTACTTATTTAGAGCAAGGGGCTTAAGTATCCGTGGTGGCCAGGTTGGTACCACGGTGTAAGCGTGGTAGCGCTCGCTGTTAAATTCACAATACGTGAGCAATCTGGGTTCCATCCCCGCCGGCACCAATGAAATTGCAAATTCCAATTTTAAGTGCAGATTTACCACGTGCTCGGTGGTGAAGGAAAAAAATCTTGAAGAAATCTGTATGTCTGAGAAATAAATTTTTTAAATATAGGCTGCTAACTACTATGTTTACCTTTGCTTTATTTTACACATATTTAATTTCATTGTGAGTTTTATAGAACCAAAGACTTAATAAAGTACAATTAAAATTAACTAGCAAACAGCTTGTCTAAATGTCTTTGCTTATCACTCTTATGAGAGCAATACGCGGTCGCTGTAATGTTTGTTGACTGTGTTACTTAGCCCAGCTTCTGAAAAGGTTTCAACTAACTCGTCCTGATTATTGCATATTGTTTGCATCGGAGCTACCTGCACTTACGCAGACAGCTTGAATTACTCGCTAGCATTAAGGAAGCACCGGCAATTGTACTCAACATCGTTTTCCAATCTGCGCAAGAGCACAGAATAAATATAGTCAGTCTCTTGTGTGTAGACCTCTCAGTCTCTCCATTTCTGATAAAGCTCGTTCATCGTGAGGTTGGTGTAATATCTTATTTGGCTCTAGATCAGATAAAGCATTGATTTATTGTATAACTCAATGAGATAAAGCAATATCTTCAAGTGTTTTTACTCTAGTGCCACACATGCATGCCCATTGGCAAACATTTTCTTCCCGAGGTCGATTACAGCTTTAAACAAATAATAGTTAAAGTAGGATTACTTATCAGTTAATAGCTAAAGTAAGGTAAGTAACTTTTTTAAAATTAACCAAAAATTATGCATGTAGTAATTAGTAGATTATAGCCACAAAAAATTATAGGTCTTAGGTAATTAAGGTAATTAATTATAGGTATTAGTTCTAAAAACAGTGTTACTTTAAAATTCAGTTTTAAAAACATTTAAAAGCAACCTACGAAAACTATACTATGTACTATGTATATACCGTTTTATACGTGGTAGATCCACGCTGCAGCAGTATTATGGCTGCAGCACGAATGGTCCGGCTCGACCGGGGGAGGACCACGCTCTCACAGAACACCAGCGTATAATAGCAGCTTAAGGTTGCTGTGTTTCACATGGTGAGTGTAGGGAACCGGGCCGGAGATACCTTTTAATGGAAACTTAATCGAGGTTAAATGTAAATGTGTATGGGCCACAGCATCCACTTACCATCAGATAGACTGCGTGCTCGTTCGTCACCCTTATTCCACAAAAATGTCAACCAGACTATATTATATCCGAAAAACTTGGACATTTCTTTTGAAAATCCGAAAATTTAATTATAAAACAAGTAAATAGCCTTTGCCAAGCGATGATATATTGTATTATGGCAAGCTTTTACAGTGATACTGTATTATTTTAAAGATAAAGGGTGACATATAAACACAGTCCGCCTGCAGTTAAGTGGATGCTGTGGCCCACGTACATTACATCTATCTTCGATTGGAATTACAACGCAGATGTGATGTCATCCCCTGAGAATTAGGGTGGAATGCCTCGTCTCCAGGAAAAGTTTTTCCGGTTCTATACACTCACCATATGAAACACAATTTCACGCCGGTATTATGTGGGAGCGTTAGCCTTTCCCGAGATTATATTATATAAATGTAAATTATGTTCAGTTATACTAAATTAACTTTTCTCGTTTAAACTTCGTCTCTTTTTAAAAGTTAGTCAACTAAAAATTTTAAATTAGCAAGAATTCGAATTAGGATTATTCTCATGCACATACTGCATTAGTTATAATAGTTTAATAACGCTTACTTAAATTAAGTATTTATTAACTATTAGTAAAAGTACATTTAGTAAAAGTGACTCATTTCCAGTAAGAAAGGCAGTGACTTTAAGCATTTCTCAGTAACTATTTAAATGGAAATTATAATTAGTTTTAAAAAATAACATCTTTATTGTACGTTTAACTTTAACGCTTTACATGTTGCCAGGAAACAATGTGAGAAAAATAAAAGAATCTAACAACCGGTAGCTAACTACCAGTGTTCGTGCTTCCGAGTACAGACGAGTATTAAGCAACTAATTAGCTGCTATTTAGCTGCAAATTTCTATGTAAATGTTCAATGGTTTCTGTTGACTTTTCTTTGCTTGATCGATAGAACTTTCTGAGAAGGTTGTCGAGCTATTAGCCCGCCGCGCCTCAAAAGCGAGAACACAATACACATGATGACATATACTCCTATCCTTGAATATGAACCTAAATACATTATTACCCTTGAGGAGTAAGATGGAATGTATCGTTTCCAGTAAAATTGGTGTCCGGTTCTCTACACTCACCATACGAAAAACAGACACATTAAGCTTCTATTTTTACCCGTGACGGAAGAAGAATATAGTTCAGATATAAATTACTTGTATTGGCAAATGTCAATTCGGCAACGCAGTTGAAGTATAGTTGGTCACGTATGCTTGTGTTCGTAAATTTAATGTACGGTGCGCCTTCCTTAACTTCAACAAACAGATGAGAAGCATGGCACATGGTTTATGCATGTTTCTTGTTCGATCAGTTTGTTCCAAAGCCAAACATAATACTTATCGATTATATTCTTTAGAGCATTTGTTGATGTGATATAAATAATAAAATGTTGTAGAGCCACGCTGCAGCTATATTACGGTTGTAACACAAATGTGTTGGCTCAACGGGGTATGATAACACTCTGGCAGAATACCAGTATAAGTTTAATACTACTGTGTTTCCTATGCTGAGAGCTGAATCAGAGACCCTTTTAACTGAAAACCAGGCGTTCCATTTTAGATCTCACGAATAACAACTCATCTGCCTTTTAATTCTTAATCAAGGATAAATGAAAATGTCTATGGGTCACAGCATCTATTTACTATCAGGTGGACTGTATGCTCGTTTGTCAATCCCATTATATTTAAAAAAGCTGACACGCATGGCAGTGTGTGACAGTTAGGTACGTTCTCTCTGTAACTCTCTTCCTGCTGCATATTAATGATGCCTCGAATCTTCTTTATGCCCAGTATTTATGGGCACGCAAATGATGATACAGTTGCGGATAAATACCAGCCAAATGTTCGGGTCAGTCTGGTCAAATCCATTTCGAAAGACAAGCTATACTTGACTTACCATCATGTGGGATTGCAGTTAACTGCTGACTTAAAATAATTAAAAAACAAATGATCCGATCATGAACCAATCTTACCAGCACCGAGCACATGCGTAAAGAAGCCAGTCTTTCGGTTTTTTCAGAATACATTTCAGAGTACGCACAAGAATTGCATGACTTAATTCCTCCATCCCATTCCACGGTTCGCGTTGTCGTTCATAATGCATACGGAAAATGAGTGAAATAATTTGCCAGCATCTGTTCCATTTGAGTTTTGTTAAGCTATGTCAGTGCACTTTACCACCTTCAGATTTATCACAACTACCATAAAAATAACATACTGCGGTTACCAACCCTCTTGCAAAGCGTGGCAAATATATATAAAGGCCTATGTTCAGCAGTGGGCTTTAATTACGCTGCAAATTTAACGGTAACTTAGGAGTGACGACACATAATATCACGTCTTCTGATTTTTTTTGCGCCCGAAGCAATTAAAGGGCTACCCTATACGTAGGGAGGCGGCAAATGCATTACGCATACCACGATAGCCGGTCTATCATGGTTATGAGAGACTCACATCCTACCGGGGAACCTAAGTGATACCCTCTAAAAACCGATTTTAGGGACTGGCAACTGGCTGTTTAAGCTTTCTTATGCCGTATCGGGAGCGACCCTCTTTTGGGAAAAGAGGGCGCAGGCGGCTGCAAGCCGCTGAGGGAGTGCCTACGAAGGCAAATTAATTATGAATAATTTAATTTAATTAGAGTTGGCCTGAGCCGCCAGGAGGCAGTTCAGGTCGTTTGATAGTTTATTAGGCGGGTCCGAGAGAGAGTTTCTCGGCCTGCAAAAAAGAAAGCAGCTTTCTTGGCTTTCAATAGGTTGCTAATATGTAGGGAAGCCCACTATTGTTAGCAACCGGGACGAGCCTTTCGTTCTCCTTAAGGGAGGATTTAATAAGGGTGGAGAGTGAATCGACCGCTGTGTCGATTTTTTCGGGACTTTCTAAGTCCGACGGTAGGGAGATGGTAGAGTCCTGTGAGTCCAGAGCTTTAGCTAGGGACTCCTCAAATCCCTTCCAATTAGTGAAGGTTTTCGTGTGTGTTGGGGGAGGCGGCTGATGGCCAAGAATGAGGGAGACCGGTCGGTGATCGGATCCTAGATCGTCTAGTGTCTTGCTCGTTGCTCTGAGTTTGAGAGAAACTCCTTGGAGTAACGCAAAATCTAGTACATCGGGGGCGTGATCGGTGTTATCGGAAAAGTGAGTAACACTGAGGGGACTATGGACGGTAATATCAAGAGACTGCGTGATATCAACGTGCGTCTCACCGGATCGACAATGACCGTATATATGAACGAGCATCTAACACTGAAGAAAAAACAATTATTTCGTAAAACCAGAGATCTCGCCGCTATGCACCAATACAAGTATGTCTGGGTTCGGAATGCCACTATTTTGGTGCGCGAGCAAGATGGTGATACTGCTTTTGCTATCCGCACAGATGATGATCTTCGTAAGATTAAAAGCCGTACTAAAGGTGGTAATAAAAGCGCTTGTGGTGGTTCTACTCAACATACTCAGTAATAACAATACTTTTCATTATTATCATTATTCTCCCCACCATGCATCTCGCTTAATTTCTTCATTAGGTGTCATTCTGTATTACACGTTTTTATTAATGATTTTTATCGTACTCTCATCCAAAAATGCAAACAAGTCAAATTATATAATTAATACTTTTGAAATTAAATTTTCCTTACGCTATGTTATGTTAGTAGGGTTATATTGTACTATTGCATTATGTTACACTTTTTTGAAATATTTATATTTATTTTATGGAGTATATATTACTATAAATAGTACTATTATGAAATCATTTGGCATGATAACTGTATATAAACTAAACTTTTTTAAACATAAAATAAGTGTGCCTTACGTCAAAATTAAAAATAATGCTCAGTTTAATTATAAGTTTATAAACATTCTTGTATTAATAAATTGTATGTTGATTCTAGGTTTATTATTATGCAATCGTCTTGGCCTCTATTTTGCCATATGTTGTTACACTTTGATAAGTTACAAACTTTTCAATCCTTTTAATTACTACGATTATGTGTTACTTGTCTGTTGTAATATTATAATCTTTTTAAAAATTTATGAGTATGTCATAAGTATGTCAGCCCTTGAATATAACATGTGTAAGTATGGTTGTTTGGTTGTATATGTATCAACAAAATATTTTAACCAGTGGGCTGAAAAGGTGTGGAGTAATAATTATAAATTTTTATTAATTTTTTCATTTTGCGTGCATGTTTTTGTAATTCTTATTATTTTTATGAAGATATATTTTGAATCGTTTCTTCGTGGGGAATTGGAGGTTTGTTTTTGCTCCGTGACTGTTTTATTATATCATAATAAGGTAAAATATTCTTATTATTATTTTAAAGTCTTGAACATCGTAAGCGAAAGTTTTAATATTACTGTTAATATGTACATGTCATTCTCAATTATTTGTAATTGGTAGCAAGCAATATTCCTTATACTATCAAAATTGCAGAGGTTTCCGAACAAAATTACACACACTATATATGAACATTCTAAACAGTAACTATGATATCATCGTACTCACCGAGACTTGGCTGATATCGGAAATTAGCAACAATGAGTTTATCGATCAACGTTATATTGTGTACAGGTGCGACCGTAATCGTATCAGTACAAATAAACTAGATGGCGGTGGTGTTCTAATTGCGGTATTGCGTACACTCAGATCATCTGAGTTAAATCTGTCTTTGACTAGTGTAAATGTTTCATTGCATAACCTAATCGAACATGTCATCATCGACGTCCCTAGTAAGCAATCCTCAAAGCGCCATGTCTTCAGTGCTGCTTACATACCCCCCAAAACACCCTCTACCGTATACGAACTTCACTTTGAAACTTTACAAGAGGTACTGTGTGATCCTAATTTGGATGGTTTCTATATTTTGGGCGACTATAATCTCCCAGATGTAACTTGGACACGAGGAACCACAGACGCCTTACATGGTAGTGGAGTAGGCTCATCCGTTACCTTTAACCTATTATGTAATTTAATCTCATTTCTAGATGCCGCACAATACAACTACGTAGTGAATACCAAAAATAAAATACTTGATTTATGCATATCAAACCGCTCGTGTAAGATATCGGCCGCTTTAAGTCCCCTACTTCCTGTTGACGCATATCATCCACCCTTTGTTTGTGATATAGCTCTCAATGCTGATATTGTTCCAATGAAAAAGCGGACGCTTCAAAGGTACAATTTTTATAAGTCCGACTACACGCACATCAACCGCAAAATAGAGTCCACTGACTGGGATGAAATACTTACTCCACTGGGATCTGAAGAAGCACTTAGCGCATTTTACGGAATCATTGACGAAATTATCAAACAACACACGCCATTTGTTGGCTCCAGAACCTCTGCTTTTCCTGTCTGGTTTTCGAAATCTCTAATTAGCACATTTAGAAAAAAACGTAAAGCTTGGGTGAAATGGAAGAAATATAACAACATATCAGACTATGAGATATTTTCCCAGTATAGAAAGCTATTTAAGGATGTGTGCAATAAATGTTTTTCTAAATATATTGGATCGGTCGAGGATAGCATACGCAAAAATATTAAGGATTTCTGGATATACATCTCTAATCGTCGTGACAAACCTGGAATACCAGCTAAGGTTGAATATAATGATGATGTTTCAAGTGATCCACAAACAATATGCAACATGTTTTCTGAATTCTTCTCTTCCGTTTACGAACCGCCCTCACCTACACTATCGCAGTGGAGACCACCTGCCGATTCAGCATCCCATGACACTACTATTACTAATCTTCATTTTGAAGTAGAAAAGGTATTAAGAGAGCTGAAATCCTTGGATCCATCTAAGGGGCCAGGCCCTGATGGCTTATCTGCTTATTTTCTAAGAAACACTGCCACAGTTATATGTAAACCCCTAACTATCATCTATAATAAATGCATTACTGAAGGTGTTATGCCCACAGTATGGAAACAGGCTAACATCACACCTGTGCACAAGAGCGGATCTAAACGTAGTGTAGATCAATATCGCCCGATATCAATTTTGTCCACTTTGTCGAAGCTTTTCGAGAGACTTGTGCATAACGAAATATATCCCATACTGCACAATATAATTATACAGCAACAGCATGGTTTCGTTAAACGTCGATCAACAACCACCAATCTATTATTATTTTCCAGCTATTTATTTGAAAATGTTGATGATCGCGTACAGGTCGATGCAGTATATACAGACTTTCGAAAGGCCTTCGATAAAGTGGACCACGAAATGTTACTAAATCGAATAGCTTACAATGGCATTCGGGGTAATTTGTTACGATGGTTTGTTTCTTATATCACTAACCGTTGTCAAAGGGTTGTAATTAATGGATACCACTCTAACGTTACGATGGTTACCTCCGGTGTACCTCAGGGATCTATTCTCGGGCCTTTGTTATTTATAATGTTTATTAATGACATAAGTAACTGTTTTCTCAACTCAAAATTTTTATTATATGCAGATGATCTTAAAGTTTATAAATCTATCCATACTATACAAGACTGCATTCTTCTCCAAGAGGACCTAGATAGACTTACAGACTATTGTTACAAAAGTAAGCTTCAGTTAAGCATTCCGAAGTGTAAATATCTCCGTTTTACTAAAAACCAGAATATTATTACATTTTCGTACTCACTGTGTAACGTTCCTTTAGCTAAAGTGGATTCTTTGCGAGATCTCGGTATACTGTTTGATTCAAAACTATGCTTAGACTTACATATTGAACAAATTGTTAACAAAGCATACAAACTATATGGATTTATTATGAGATCAACTCGCGACTTCAAACGGACCTCTTCATATCTTTGTTTATATAAAACCCTAGTTCGCTCTCAACTTGAATATGCTGTGCCCATTTGGAATCCTTATTATAATAAATATATACACAAAATTGAAAATGTTCAACGGCCGGTTTCTACGTGCAATGCATTATAGATGTCATAAATCTCATTTACCGTATGACCAGTTACTCAGTAGATACAAACTTCTAACCCTCCACTCTAGACGTAAGCAATTGGAGTCTATGACATTGTTTCATATAGTAAGATGTAAATTTGACTGTATTGAGTTAAACAATCTGTTATGTTATGTAGTTCCCAGAACTGTCCATAGACGACGGGTGCGTGCGGGTAAACTCTTTGCCGTAAGTACCTGTCGATCCAATACCGGTATTCGTTCACCAATTCGACGTATGGTTGCCACATATAATGAGACCTTCGAGCATATAGACATTTTTAGATGCTCAAAGGAAAAGTTTCGTGGTCTTTTATACAAGACACTTTTCACATAATAATTTGTTATCTTAGTCACATTATAATATCACTGTTGACCATACTTTGACATTTGTATAATACCTTCTGTACAGCTGCAGGTCTCCTAGCGTCTTAATTATCTATCCCAAGAGGTAATCTGTGAACAGCACTGTGGGCTGCATTATTGCGTATACTATGTTACTGTACTATCTATATGTAATTATATATAATGTAGTTGTTAGCTGTTCCACTTTGAATAAAATAAAATAAAAAATAAAATCAAGCAGTATCTTGCCACTAGGGTAGGTAGTACGGCATGTCCATTCAGTATGCTTGGTGTTAAAATCTCCAAACATAATGACTGAATTGCCTAAAGATAAAATAGCCTCAAAATCTTTTTTGAGGGGATAGGTTCCTGAAGGGATGTAACAGGAGGCTATGAGGATGGACTGATGTCCAGTCATAGCTAGCCTGCATACCGTGGATTCCATGTTGGTAAGCTGCGGAGTAGAAATGGGCGAGCAGTGAAATGTCTTCTTGTAATAGATATCCGTTCCGCCGCCTCGGCGGTCGGGTCTGTCATTACGAAGAAGAGAGAAGTTTTTAATAAAAAAGGCCTTTAGTGTCCTTAGTTTTGAGATTAGTTTTAAGCTCTGGGAGGTTATTTCGCAAACCGCGAATATTAAATGATACAAGCGATAAACCCTTAGGTTTGATACGACCGTGAAACTTTGGAAGAGCAAATTGCTCTGTCATTGTGAAGTTAAGTTAATTAAGTTAACTTAACTTATAACGTGCACAAAAGATTATGGTGCTCTGTAAGAGCGAGGAGACGTTCCTGAGGGGACCTCGCAGAGCGCAATTTGCATGCTAACACAGCGATTTCACTAACGTCGATGTTCCTAATAGCGGAATACAGCGTTGTTAGGT